TCTATAGAGTGCATGTGAGTTGATCCTCTGAGTCAGTAAAGAAGTAAAGGCATTCCTTCCTGAATTGTGCTAAAGCAGCTTAGGCTGGAAAGAGAGACCTTATTTTGTGTCCAGACAAGCCCACATTGTCACCACCACAAATAATCCTGAAGTTACAGAGCTCATTGACTGCAGAACACATTATCAAAAAACATAATAGATGCGGACAGATAAAGTGGGTTTAAATTTTATTCTAGGCCTTTTCTATGTCTTGAGCTTTTACTTGCCTGCAGTATTAAACCAGGCTGAAGTTTATATCCTTTAAATTTGATTCTGTGTCAACTTTTGGATAATCCCACATTTTTTTTTTCTTGTTTTAAAGATTTTTTTTTTAAACTGGGGAATTGGAGAATGGGAACAGCACTGGGGAATTGGGGGAAGGGAAACAGACAAGTTTCTGTCCTTTTGTTCTTCAGTCTAGTTGTGGAGGGCGTTGCTTCACTGGCCCAAGTTGGCACCATCATTGCTGTCTTCCCGGGTGAGGCAGATCAGTCGCCGGCTTCTGGATGGCCTCTCACGGTGGCTGCTGGCCACTCACGCTTGCTCCTGGCCACTCACGCTGGCTCCTGGCTACACACAGTAGCCCATGGCAACCCACTGCAGCAGAGGCTGCAGCCTATGCTGTCGCAGGCAATTCACGGCAGCGCAGCTCCAGGTTGAGCTGTTGTTCAGCATCTTAGCTATAGAAGGCAGTGTCACTGGCCCTCATATGTGGGATCCGAACCAGAACCCTCTGGCATCCCAAGCCAGTTCTTAACCATCGTGCCACTCTGCTGGCCCAATCCCACCTTCTTGATTCTAAAAGGATCTACTTCCCAGATGTGTGTAGAAAATCAAGGGTTGATTTCCTCCATAGTAGCTGAGCAATGTGACTTTTATGTTCAGGAATACTAGCTGGTTACCTAATATCAGTGATACAAGATTAGTTGCAAAGGAGCTGGTGGGAAAAGTTGAATGGCACAGGAATACATAGAATGGTGGGAGAAAGTTTTGTATTTGGTCAAAGGCAGGTTAGACATTTCTGAAAACTCTACTCATTCCTTGCATTGTGGGCTCAATTCAACAAGCATTGATTAATCCTTCGTATAGACCTGGCCATATGCGAAGCACTAGCATTTATGGCAATAGACACAGTTCTGGTCCTGATCTCAGAGGCTCACCAACCAGAAGGCTGGATTTGAGCCAGGCTGAGAAGGGCCATGAGTGCCATGCTGACAGTCCTGGGGTGTATGCTCTTTAGTTAGTGAAGAACTATCAAAGAGATGATTTCTCTGCTGGGGAGTGAGTGACAGATGTAGAAACTAGTACTCACTTAAGGTGAGACACTAGGCAAGTCAACTTCTCTGACTCTCATTTTCTTTGTCTGGAAAAGGAAGATAACAATAGCTTCCTTGCCCATCCCACAAAGTTTTTTTTCTTTTAATTTAATAAGATTTATTGAGGAGATATTGGTTACTAAGATTATATAGGTTTCAAGCATACAATTCTACATATATGACCCATATATTGCAATGTGTATTCACCACCCAAATTCAAGTCTCCTTCTGTCACCATATATTTGACCCCCTTTATCTTCTTCTACCTCCCCCTACCCCTTTCTCCTCTGGTAGCCACCATACTGTTGTCTGTGTCTGTGAGCTTTTGTTTTTCTTGTTTGTTTGTTGCTTTCTGTTTTATGTTCCATATATGAGTGAAATGATATGGTTCTTGACTTTTTCCATCTGACTTATTTCACTTGGCATGATATTCTCAAGATCCATCCATGTTGCCGCAAATGGCAGTGTTTCATCTTTTCTTGGCTGAGTAGTATTCCATAGTGTGTATGTACCACATCTGCTTTATCTAATTATCTATTGAAGGACACTGATTGTTTCCAAGTCTTGGCCACTGAGAATAATGCTTGCAGGGCTTTTATAGGGATCAAATGAAATCAAGTTACATGAAACAAATGCTATTTAGGTGTCAAGAACTATTGTTAGGACTGGTTAAAAGTCTGGATGTTTGGAGAACAAGAGAGAACTTGGGTGTTGGGCAGTGATGCTCTGAGAATGTAGCAAAACCTTTCATCCAGAATGGGCATATGTTGAAGGAAAACTGGGCCTTTGGAAAAAAAAATAGTAAGAACAATCAAACAATAGAATATTTCAAAAGAAAAGTAACTTTTTTTTTTCTTTTCAAGTAAAGCTTGTTATAAGTGAAGAAAATTAACAAGGGATATTCATAGGATACAGACAAAAATGTACATCTGGATGCAAAGAGAAGAAGTGAGCAGATGAGAGTCACTGCTGCAGAGGCAGGTGAAGGGCTGGCAGGGAGACTCTTGCAGGGAGCGCCAGCCCTGACCAGGCCTTCGGGGAGCACAGCAAAGCTTTCATGAATCATTCTTCTAGGGATCACTTGGCCCCAAGGGAGATCACTATTCCAGAAATAATGACTTGGCTCTTTGCAGCATTTTCAATCTTCTTATGTCTTGTGATTTCCTGCATGTATTGTTCCAAGAGGAAGACTTGTGTTCAGGAGGCCTCAGGACTTATCTGGCTTTTCCATGAACTTTGAGACCTCATCTGCCAATGCAGTGCATATTATAAAGCAAGGCATTCCTTAGGAAAATGGGGTAAGTTCATGTACGTTATGATCGGCCTATTCCAAGGCCATGAAATTCCATTAATTCAGCCCAAGTTTGAGAATTCATGCAACATTGAAAGCATATATTGGAGGTCATCAGTTTTGAAAAAAATGCTTATTCTAAACTGTTTTCCCTTAACGTACAGCACTTGAAGAATCACAGGGAAAGAAATGGTCCCAAATATTTTGCTGATTAAGAAGAAATCATACTAAGATAAAATCTTTGTCAAATCTCAGCATTATAGAAATAAGCTAGTTATTACAGAAATAAAATGTGAATGACAACAGAAGCCTTTACTGAAAATTTATTTCACTCTTATTTTAGAGTGCTCCACAGTAACAGAAGGGAATTTTACCTCCAGGTAAGAGAAGGAGGCCAAAGACTGGCTGAACGGGGGGAAGTCAATCGACACATACAGAGGGAGCCAAAAACACGTATACACATTTTAAGAAAGGAAAAAACTGCATCAAATTGTAATACTCAATATATACTGATAACAAAAGACGAATACAAGTCATGTATATACATTGTTTTGGTACCTCTGGTATATGTTGAGCACCTGCTAAGGGACACACACTTAACCTAAGTGTCATTTAATTCTCACCAGAGTGTGTTCTTACAAAGTAGGTAAAGTCACCCCCTTTTCATAAATGAGTATACTGAGGCCAGGAGAATGATTTTTGCCAAAGGTCACACTTGTGTGGTTGAGCTAATATTCAAGCCAGTCTACCTAAGCTCAAACCTGAGGTCTACCCTAGCCTCCCCCTTTACCTTGAGAGTTTCTTGGGACTTTAGCTAGAAACTGGCTAGGAAATGGACGGCTTGCAAAGCTGTGTGGATGAGTGAAAAGGGGGAAAAGCCTCTTCATCATAGGTGTGTAAGTGTCAGGAAGAATTCACCCATTACAAAACACCACTCCAGGCCATGTCCTCTCCCTCTGCCCACATCCTTCCTTCTTTCCTTTAGGGCAGGATTTCTCAATCTTGGCTCTATTGACACTTTAGACTAGATGATTCTTTGTTGTGGGAGCTGTCCTGTGCATTGTAGGGGGTTTATTGCATCCCTGACCTCTATCGTCTAGATGCCAGTAGCAATCCTTGTCAGTCATAACACTAAAACATATCCCCAGACCTTGCCAAATGGCTCCTGGGGTTGGAAATCCTTGCCTGTCCCAGTTAAGAACCATTGTTTTCTGGTGAACAACTAACCCAGTTTGCCCTACACTGAGGATTTTCCAAGGATTCAGTGCTATAATCTGGGATAGTCAGGGGCGAACTGGCATGGTTGGTCCTTCTACAAATGAAACTTCCATCTCCTGCTTCAATAAAGGCTGTAGTGGGAGAGAGGCATTGTGTTGATAACATGGTTGTCCTGGCAGTCTTTGGTTTCTCTAAGCTGTTGCTGCACCAAGCACATCTGCCTAATATTCCTTTCTCTCCACCCCAGCACCTACCCCTTATGCTCCCACATAGCCTGTCAGGGGTGGAGGGAAAGTTACCTACTTCAGGGGGGCTGTTTGGGTAACTGTGTGGGTCCTTTTAGACTGAAGTAGACCAGAGGGAATGCTGGTGTGTGTGTGTGTGTGTGTGTGTGTGTGTGTGTGTGTGTGTGTGTGTGTGAGCTGGGAGGGGCAGTCAGGTGCTGAACTATAGCGAGCCCATTGATGCTGCCCGGGTGGGCAGTGAGCATGTGTGTTTACACCAGCAGTTAATGAATACTGAATGGAGGAAGCTTTTTAGCTCCATGTCAGCTTGGCCTGTGCTTAGGCGTTATGAACATTTTTATTATTTAATATTATGAAATATTTTTATGAGTTACTCTGACAACTTAGAGCATATTCCTGAGAGACACAAGTAAAAGAAAAGCCTCAAAAATAGGTTGTTATGGGGATTATTTTTGCTGTGTTGTTGAGAATGTATTAGCAACAGTAATGAATATTTTGGTTCTTGCAAATTTACAAGGCACTTCCAAAATATGTCACGTGTCCCTCAGCCTTCTACTCTTGGTGTCATTCGTATGCCCATTTACAGGATGAAAACAAGTTATGTCTGAAGGTGCTAAGTGACTGGCTGAGTCAAATGGCAGGTTTTGCATCTGGATCACTGGGCACCACATCTTGTGACTTCCATATTCCTCCAGTCTGCAGGAGAACGAGCCCTTGTGTAAGTGCTGCGTCTGTGTTGCTGTAAATGTAAACAGTAAAATGACACGTGTAGAAATGCAGAATGTGAATCAGCTGTTGAGCCCTGACTCCCATAATGGCCCTTCCCCCTTCTCTGTCTTCAGCAAGTGGGAGGTATGAGGCAGGTTCCCCAGGGCAGTGCCTGACACGGAGGTTGATATCCTTGCTGATCCAGCGCCTTCCTCTGTGCTCTTTGACAGGCACAGATGTTGGGGGTGAGATTTGTTGTGAATAATTGCTTGCATTTCCTTGATTATGCAAACCACTGGCTTTTTCCAGGAACTCTCCACTTCCCGAAGCTCTAAGCTAGTTGCCGCCCATTGGCTAAGTTAGTTTCATTTTGGAGGAGGCATATTTTTCGAGTTGCACAACAGTGATAACTGCCAGTGCCTGTTGGGACTGAGGTACCTGGAGTTCAGGGACTCCAACTGGCGACAATGACAGCAGACGAGTTGGTTTTCTTTGTGAATGGCAGAAAGGTAAGTGGGGGCTGACATTTGCTTTGCTCTGGCTGCCCTGCTCCCAGGAAAGGGACGTGTGTCCTGTGGAAGAAGCCTGTTCTTGTTCTCTTTCTTTTGGGCTTTTTTTTCACTTGTTTTTCTTGCTTTACACATCTCTCCTTTCAAAGGTGTGGTTGCCTTTTGGGTGACATTAAGGAAAGAACAACTTCTCAGGGCTGGTACATAACAAGTTACTCAAGGGGCAAAGGAGTAAAGGGGCGGAAGCGAGAAGAGAGGTGGCTGTGGGCTCCCCCTCCCTGCCAACGCTCTGTAGAAGTACAGACATGGCAGGAAGCTGAGAAAGGGGCACAGGGTTCTAGGTGAGACTGCAGGTCACCCACCACACTTCTGTGTTTCATCAAATATATCCTAAGGCTTTTGTTGTTTTCTTTACTGAGAGAAGGAAATGTTTTCTTGCTAATATCAAGATATAAAATGTACACAGCGTTTTCTTCTGACACTTCATGTATGTAAATATAACAGCGAACTTGTGTGAGGACATATACTGACATCTTGTGGCAAACCCCATTTTTTTTCTTAAAAGGCATGCTATGCCTCTCTCTTAACTCTACATATAAATATTGCAAACCTCTTACTTTGATAAAAATGTACCACTTGGCTTAACTTCATTAGTGCCCCAGGGCCTAGAGGAAGTGGGGTGGGTTGGGCCAGAGGGGGACTTATGCCATGGGTGCCAATTCTTGCAACACTGGAAGGATGAAAAGCTTTGCAAATTCTAATGCAGGTACAGGGAGAGATGGTGCAAACACATGACAAGGTCTCCATCCTCCACTTGCCCTCCTTACAATAGTGCTGACATGCTCACAGCTGCTTCAGCTCCCCAGTTGGGCATGAAAGGGAGAGTAAAAGGGTAGCCATAGTTGTGCGTTGTAAATGGCCATGTGGACCATATGAGTGATGAATGTACCCAGAGGGCAATTTTATTAGTTTTGCTCTATTGGCCAGTTTAAATGAGAAACAGGATGACTTTAGAGGTAACTTTCAAAAACTAAAATGTGTTTTGTAGGATATCTAGTGCTTAAATTGTAAGGTGTGTTTGTGTGACTAGCAAGAAAATTCCACGAGCCATTGCAACATCCATGCTCCAAAGACTGTTGGTTCTAGAAAGGGACATTTCAAGGTAAATCTGCCTTGGTGAAAGTTGTTTTCCCACGTATTTTATTTTTACTTTAGGAAAACAATTTCAAATTTTAGTTGATATCATCACATCAAACGCTACTACATCTAGAAGCTTCCACTACTGCCAGTTTCTGTGATAAATATTCATACTTGTAATTTATAAACATGTAGCCTCTTGAGAAAGTGCTGGAAAGGTGGAGAGGCAATGCAAGGGGTGATGAGGTAAAAGCAGTACTGTAAAAACAAGACCTAGCAAGGAAACTCCAAGTCAAATTAAGGCATCTGTGAGTAAGTGTGTTCCTGTTTCTATTCCCAAGTTGTTCTAGACTTTTTATTACAGGATATTATGCCAAGAAGTTACCAAAGAAGCTGTCAGAACTTGGTGTTGTAAAGACCATGTATGGTGTAGATGGGTAGAGGCTCACTCTTGAATTCAAGCTCCTCCCAGCCCGGAGTCTATGGGACATGTATGTGCTAGAGTAATACAACTCTATGACCAAGCAGTAGCCAGTCAAGCGCCTATGAACTAGTTGGAGAGATGGATTATGATTAGGAAAGTAATATATTCCAAAATGTATTTCACAGAAAACTATCTCCATGAGATACTCTTCTCAGATATTCTCAAACCATTTAGCCCTGGGTTGGCACAAAGAAGGTGCCCAATTAATCTGGATAGAATGAGTGGATGAATATTCAAAACCCTAAGAAATCCTTTAGTAAAGAAATTTAGTTTTTAACTTTGTATTATAAAATTATTTTAAATTTACAGACAATGTTCAAGAAGAATACAAAGAAATATTATTAAATAGACTTTATTCACATTCATCACCTATTAACATTTTGCCACGTTTGCTTTTTATTCTCTCTCTGTCTCTCTCTGTCTCTGTCTCTGTCTCTCTCTGTCTCTCTCTCTCTCCTATATATATATGAAATTCTCAACTGCATCAATTATTGGGCAGATTACAATATGGCCAGTCATATTTATTACTTGGCATTTTTCTGTCAGGAACGACTTTCTCCTCTCTCCCATTTTTTTATTTATTTACTAATTATCAGTTTTATTATCAGACTAATTATCAGACTCATGAGTTTTAATTTTATTTAATGGATTGTAACCCGTTTTGACCAATATTTGTTTGATGTTCAAGTTTTAGCAGAGCAATCTACTTAACCCAGTGTTTCCTAAGCTCACTTTCCCACAAAGCATCTTTCCTTTGGGATATGCATTGGTGTCCTGTTGAGAGAGGGTTACATAGTTTGCTGGGGCAAACCCTGCAGCCAAGTCGTAAGAGTGTCACAGCCATTCTCTGCAGGAATTCCAGGGAGATGGACCACTTGAGCTGGGAAGATACGGAAAGCCTTTACTAGGGAAGTGTTTGGGGTCTTCCGATAAGTCAAAATGCAGGTGGCAGAGGAATAGAATGGTCAAAGGCTCAGGAACTGGGAGGTATGCAAAGTATTTTTACTGAAGTATGAAGATCAGCTTGGCAGGAAAGTAAGAGGGAAAGGCTAAAAATGAGGATTAGGGACACACAGAAAAGGGCCTTGAAAGACAGTCAAAGGAACTTGGATGCAACCTTGAATATGTCAAAGGTCACTGAAGGTAGTGAGCAGGGAACTTATGTGATATGATGGGAGCAGGGCTGCAGGGCAGGAGGAAGGCACAATTTGTGGGCAAGGTAGTAAGCCAAGAGACTCTAACTGCTGTCTACAAGAAAGATGACAGGGGGCTTTATTTTGTGCGTTTATGATTTCTTCTCCCAGAAAAAAGAAATAGCTCCTTGTGAAAACTTTGTAAACAAGACTTTGAACAAGCTGGACCTGTAAGGTGTAATAAAAAAATTCATTTTATCTTCCACTTTCATTTGAACTTTATTCAAGAGCTGAATTAGGGCCATTTTGTGACCTCTTTGATTACTTTTGGTCAATAAAAAAGCCTATGGTCGAGCCGGCCAAGTGGCTCAGTTGGCTAAGAGCTCGCTCAAGAGTTTGAGCTCTGAGCAACAGCAGTTCGATTCCCGGCCCAAGCTGAGCAGCCACTGAGCTGCCAATCAGTGGCAGGATGGCTCAGCTTAAAAAAAACCCAAAAATAAAAAAAACAAAACAAAAAAAGCCTATGGTCGAGACAACCAAAATAGAACAGCAGGTAAACACTGTGCTTACCTTCTCTCACAACTGAATCAAAATCACAACCAATCTTCAAAACAACCATTATTGAGAATCACCTAAAATCAAGCTGAACTGAAGCTTTTCAACTAAGGATGCACAGAAGAAGCCACATCCAGACTGGTATGAATGGTAGAAACGTTGAACAGGCTGGTCCTACACCTGTGTGTGACATTCAAGATCAGGAGGGATATTTTGGCTGTGGAGACCCCATTCCCTCCCAGAGGAGTGCAAGGTTCCAGGCCCATTACAACATAGGGTTCCAGTGCCAGGGAGAGAAGTGCCGGGGAGAGAAATTTCTGGTTGTGAAAACCAGCTGAGATTGTGACTGAGTGAGACTTAGTGGGCTGTACTCACAGGCACGCTGCTTAAAGGACTGTTTGCATGGACGTACCAACCGAGGGAATCACTGGTTCAGCTCCAGTGCTGGGGTAGCAGCTGGTGAGGCAGCAGGGACATACAGGGCTGAACTGAGTTGTCTGGCTTGGGATGGGGGCTGGACAGGAAGCTTCCTCCTGGATGGGGAGCCAGTGGAGGCCATTGTTTCTTTGCTGAGCCTTGCCCCACCCCAACGTGCTGACACATGCGGCTACCATATCGTAGTCTCCGCCATTTGATCACCATGCCCTGGCGATTTGAGCCTCGACCCCGTCCAACTTTTGGGCACACCAAGGTGGACTCCAGTGGCATTTTTGTGCACACTGCCTGCCTTGGCTCAAACTGCACACTTTTCTACCATTGCTCAAAGGTTCACAGAACCCAGACAAACAGCATCTGGCTTGAGCATGTTCTGTACCTCTGGCTACGCATCCCTACACCAGTACTAGTGGCAGCTGGCCTTGGTTCATTGCTTGGCCTCTCAAGGCGCTTCCAAGCACAACACAGGTGACAGCCATCTGTGGATTTCTTTGTGGCTTCTGCTGGGTGGCCCCAGGTGGGGCATGGGCTGTTGCTGAACTCGACCTACAGCAGACCCCCTCCAAGTTCTCCTGAGGCTGGCGCCCCCAGCGGCCAGCTTCAAAATGAGCTTGAGCGTCACCCAGCCACCTCCATGTACAACACACCCAAGGGTCAGATTGGGCAAGCACCAGAGTCCTGCTAAGGCAGATCATGCTCTGTGTGGTCAGCCCCTGCATAACAACTCTTCCACTATAGTCAAGGTCAGTCCTCACAACCAGTGAGCCCAAGGGTCAGTCCCTGACATTGATGTACAATTAGTGACCAAGGCTCAACTACAAGAGGAGGGCACACACAACACACAAACGGGACTCACCTGGTGTGTGTGGCTCAGGTGACCAGAAAGACTGTGCCACTGAATCCCACAGCTCACCTACTACATAAGGCCACTCTACTAAGAATGGAAGACATAGCAGCCCTACCTAATACATAGAAACAAACACAGGGAGGCATCCAAAATGGGGAGACAAAGAAACATGTCTCAAATAAGGGAACAGAATGAACCTCCAGAAAAAGAACTAAGCAAAATGGAGATAAGCAATCTATCAGATGCAGAGTTTCAAACACTGGTTATAAGGATGCTCACTGATCTCAGGAGAACTACAACAGAGAGATAGGAAGCATAAAAATGGAGATGGAAACCATGAAAAAGAACCAGTCAGAAATAAATGATATAATAACTGAAATGAAGAAGACATTACAGGGAAACAACAGTAGATTAGGTGAAGCAGAGGATTCAACCAGCGATGTAGAAGATAAGGTAGCAGAAAACACCCAACCAGAACTGCATAAAGAAAAAAAAGTCCAAAAATTTGAGCTGAGTTTCAGGGGCCTCTGGGACAATATCAAGCGTACCAACATTTGCATGATAGGGTTACCAGAAGGACAAGAGAGAGAGCAAGGAATTGAAAACCTATTTGAAGAAATATGACAGAAAATTTTCTTAACCTGGTGATGGAAATAGACATACAAGTCCAGGAAGCACAGAGTCCCAAACAAGATAAACCCAAAGTAGCCCACACCAAGAGACATCATAATTAAAATGCCAAAGGTTAAAGACAAAGAGAGAATCTTAAAAGCAGCAAGAGAAAAGCAGTTATTTACCTACAAGGGAGCCCCCATAAGACTGTCAGCTGATTTCTCAACAGAAACTTTGCAGGGAAGAAGGGAGTGGCAGGAAATATTCCAAGTGATGAAAAGCAGTGACATACAACCATGATTACTCTACCTAGCAAAGCTATCATTTAGAATTGAAGGGCAGATAAGGAGCTTCCCAGACAAGAAAAAGCTGACGGAGTTCATTATCACAAAACCAGTATTACAAGGAATGTTAGAGGGACTTCTTTAAGATGGGACTGGAGTTAAGGATGGGTGAAAGAAAAAGGGATTAAGAAGTATAAATTGGTTGTTGCACAGTAGTCATGGGGATGCCAGGTATAGCACAAGGAATATAGTCAATAATATTGTCATAACTAGGTATGGTGTCAGATAGGTACTAGATCTATCATGGTGATAGATGAGAATGAGGTTGGGGGCAGGGTGAAAATGGTGAAGGTATTAAGAAATACAAATTGGTAGTTAATACAGTATGAAGAATATAATCAACGGTGTTGTAAAGATCATGTAAGGTGCCAGATGGGCACTGAACTTATCAGGGAGATCACATCATAGACTGTGTAGATAGGTGCCTGATACACCTGAAGCTGAAGTAGAATAATATTGAATGTCAACTATAACTAAATATATAGGTATATATAGTCACGGGATGTGAAGTACAACATAGGGAAGATATTCGATGGTATTGTAACAGCTATATAAGTTGTTAGAAGGGTAGCAGCTTGGGGGTGGGTTATCACTTTATGAGGTGTTTGAATGGGTAACTATTATATTGCTCTGTACACCTCAAGCCAATAAAAAATAAAAAAAATAAAAAAGCCTATGGTCACTTCTAAATTGCCTAACACAGTCTCAATTCAGTACAGAGAGGTGAGGGTAGCAAGAAAGTTCTCTTTGAATTGGTAGTGGTCTAGGATGGCTTCCCACCAGTTGCACCTCCATGACAGGGAAGGTATGCATTCCTCAGGCCGGCTGTTTTCTCTCAGCCTCCAGTTTTGGAAGGTCCACTCCCCACGGAATCTATTAGTGGTCCCATCACTTTCTATAGTCACTTTTAAACACCTCCAAGCCAGCTCTCTCTCTCTCTCTCTGTCTCTCTCTCTCTCTCTCTCTCTCTTTTTCTCTCTAATGCATGGCCTACACTAGGTCCATGGTCAACACTTTTCATCTTTTGTTCTCCCAAACTCTGGAAATGTACCCCCATCTTAACACTGTCACTTCTTCAGCTTGTCTCGTAAGCCTGTCTCCAGCTGTTTAGATATGCCAGACCACCACCTTTCCTGAACTGCCAAGGTCACATGTATTACCGCATTTCCCCATGTATAAGATGCACTCTTTTTCGAAAAGTATGGGGTCTAAAAACTGGGTGCGTCTTATACAGTGGTTGTAGATTTTTTTTACTTTCATTTCCTGCAAGTGATGAGGAGTTGTATGAATTTTATGATGAATAAAACTTGAGTTCAATAAGTTTATGTAATACATGTTTTTGAAATTTCAGGACCCCAAATTAAGGTGCGTCTTATACATGGGAGCATCTTATACATGGGGAAATACGGTAATAGTATGTGGAAGCCCCTCACAAAGTGTGAGGTGTGAGGCACATACCTCCTTTCCCACCTTTAGGAAGATGTGGGACTCATAGTACAGTTCTCTCTAAAGAAACACTTATTACAAATTCTCTCCCCTTAATCAGCCAATCACCCAGACCCCTTTACCCTTGGTCATGCGTGAGGAGCAGTGAAAAGATTTATCACAGATTTCCTTTGACAATTTACATTGGGAGCTGGCACTTCATTTTGTAGATAAACTTCTCCAGCTTATGGAGAATTCCATTTGTGGCCTTTGGTTTGAGATTGCCCCTCCATGTCTGACCTGGGTTAATGCTGTTGACTGTCATCTAGCCCGATGCAAACAATAGAGCCAGGCCCACAGGGTGGCTCTCTGCTCTCTGAGAGGTCGGCATGCTGTCACTCTCAGCTGTCCCTGGAGTTCACAGGTGTGATCCAGCAGCTGGAAATGCGATGACATGTTCGATCTGAAGGGGGCTTGGCATTGGTCAGCACAGCATGGCGGGTGCAACACCGAAGCATTCTGGTGGGTCCCGAGCTGAGCATTAATGTAGAATTTTAGGATTGAAAGATGTCAGTGCACACAGAGTTTGGCTTATACTTAATGTGTTCATTCTTAGGGAATTATCAAGAAAATCGCTTTTGTTTTCATAAGATAATTTAGCACACAAATTCTAGGGTAAGATTGTGGCTAAGTATACCTGTGATACATCTTTTTTTGTTTTTGTTTTTATAGGTGGTGGAGAAGAATGCAGACCCAGAAACAACTCTTTTGGCCTACCTGCGGAGGAGCTGTATCCTGACTTTGGAGCGGCAGGGAGGGAGGTGGACAATGGGGCTCATTCTCTGGGTCACACGTCATTTTCTAGTGACTGGTGGGGAGGCTGTAAAGTGTGGAAGAAAGACCAATGGGTTAGGGTTCTGGACACCTGTGCTTTAGTTGCAGCTCTCTCACACGCCAGCTGTGGGACCCTGGGAAGTCACTTCAGCTTTCTGGCCTGAAATTCTCAGCCGTGAAATAAGATGGTTCTTGATGTTCCTTAAGATCTCTTCCAGCTGAGGCTCTAGTAACACCGAGATTTAACCCTGGGCCTGTGGGACAGGCAGCTCCAACGGGCCGTCATGAGCCCTTAAGGTTCATGGTCATTCGCCTCAGCAGGAGCTGGGCCTTCCTCAGCCAATCTCTGCCTAATACACAAATGGGCTTCCTGGGGAAGCTTCTAGCTCTGTGAAAGTGGAGAGCAAGTCAGGGGAAGGAGTGTGTTTTGGGAAAGAGATGGGGAAGTATGTTGAGGCACCATCCATTGTGGAAATGGCAGCACTGGGAGGCATGGGGCAGGGACACCTGAGTGAAGAGTCCGGTACCTTTTGTTTTTTCAGATTTGGAAAGTATTCTGAGTCCTTGGCAGAAAATCAATAGTGAAAATATAATAGGAGCTAACATTTAATGAACACTTACTATATACAGGTGGAGTTCAAGGTGATTGGTGCTGGTTATCTCACTGTCCCCTCAGCACCCCTTTGTCAGAGGAGGAAGTGAGGCCTGCACATGTTACAGGGACCTGCTTCTCGCTCATGTACTTTGGGCAAACATTGGCAGAGCTTAGACGAAGCCTGGAGCCATGCTCTTAACTTTCCACCTGTACTGGAATCTTTCCAGGGGTTTGTTGTCAGCACAGGGCTCATCCTGACCTCTGCCAACAAAACCCTCTTGTTCCCAGAGGCAGGAATACCCAGTGGCTCATTCCAGTGACATAGTTTGGACAACAAAGGTTTGTTTGAACATCTACAGAAGTGAGCCTGGAATCTGTGGCCTTACCTCTGGTTCACTCACTTCTTGTCAGATAGTGGCTGGCTCTAGTGTACTTTGTACTGGGTTTTCAATCTGGGAGGGGCAAGTCTGGAGGTTCAAACACATGAACCTTGTCACTTATTTAGATTACTGACATCGATTTTAGTTTTATAATAAAGTTTTGAAAGCCCTAAAGCCTCAGAAAGTCCTGATTATAGACATTGGCTGGTTTAAAGGTCAACTCTCAAATGAAACCCAAAACTGAAAGTTGGCACATAGGTACAGAGGGTGCCAAAAGAATGAATACACATTTTAAGAAAGAATAAACTGTATAAAAGTTGTAACAATACATATCAATAACAAAAGATGAATACAAATCATGTGTATGCATTTTTTTGACACCCTGTTATAAAATTCTAATGGCTTGTTGCTGCTCATTTGTGGGAGTTCCAAGTAAGATAGAAGACTCCAGCCTTGACTTTGACCCTGGCTTCCAGAAAGATCCCTGGGCTAGAAGAAGATCTTGCTAGACTCTGGGCTGCTACCATTGGTCTTCACATGCCCTTAGAGTTGTCTGAAATGCTGATAACTGCATTGACCCTGACTAGTGGAAAGAATAACTTAGGACACAGAAAGCGCTCCCCAGATGTGTTTTGAAAGAGGCAGGAGCATGGTGAAAGTGGAGTCCCCACATCTGGGGTCCGATCACTGTGTTTGGCCCCTAACTCTCAGGGTGATTATTAGCTTTCAAGGCTCATGTTACCTCTGGGGTCTCTGTGGTTTTTTTGTTGTTGTATCTTTGTTTCTTTTTTTTTAAATTGTGGAGAAACAGTAGTTTCTGCTCGAACTGCTAACCAAATTACTGTGAAGAATCCATGGGTATAAATGCTTTACATGTATAAGATGCTATATCATTGTTAGTTATTACTTTCACCTCAAAAAGGAGGGAAATGACCAGGAGACAATAAGCTCAGCTCCCTTTATCCTCAGTAGGTAACTAGATGGGTTAGAGGCCTGCAGGTCTGAGGGAAAAGCAACAGTGGAACCTGTGTATGTTAGGAAAAGGGGCAAGCATGATTCTTGTTCTCTTGAATAGCCTATTACTTTGGTACTTCTACAAATGCAAAGTATCATATTGTTATATCTGCAAGTATGTGTAAGACAGGACTCTAATATTGGTCCTCAACCTTAAAACTATCTTCATTTTAATTTCCATTCACATACCCTATGGGTTGGATATTCAAAAGTCCTGGTTCAGCCTTCATTTGGGTTCCCAGACTTCATCAGCCCCAAAGGTTCAAGGTGAAAAGCCTGGACTCAGCAAATCCCAGAAAGATGGATGTCTAACTCTGGTCTTAGTGGCTTCATTGCAGCCCAGCCGGGTGGATGTGAGGCCTGCCCCACATGCCCAGACTTTGAGGTGCCAGATTCACCTGCCCAGGGAGATCATGGGGTTGGGGACCTCTCATGACAAGAAGACCCAAGAAAGGTCTCCAGGACTCATGTTCCCATCCTAGAACTCAAGTCTCAGGGGATTACACTTGGGTGTTGTTTGTTGGGACTCTGATGCCTTTCTCCTTCAGGGTAGTGGAGATAGCCCCATTCCCTGTCTCCCCAGGGTGCAGTGCAGCCTCTCTGGATGAGGAAGCCATGTGAGTCTGCTGCCTCCCTGAGCCTGCGTGTGGCCATGGATGGCTCTAGACTTGCAGCTCTACCCACACACTTCCCAGCGGCTCAGCCAAGATTTTTTCTCTGAGTTCGTGTTCCTTAACCCCTGGCCATACAGTGGGGCTGAGTGGGACCAAGCTTGGCTGTGGAGAAGGAGGCTGTGGTGCTTGCACCGTGATGGTTTCCAAGTATGATCGTCTCCAGAACAAGATTATGTATCCTTTGCCTGCTGGCTGATTGTCCATATGAGGACTGTGATTCAGGGGTCAGCTGTGAGTGAGTGTGTGCGCACACAAAAACACACACACACAAGGTATATGCACATGCACATGACTTTTCTGAGATCCACACTCACTTCATAGCCCATGAAATCCAACAGGTCTCAGTTTCTTCCAGGAAAAAGCCCAGTGTCTTTGCTTAGCACCTGGAGCCCTTCACAATATGCCCCACCTTTCCTCTAGACTTTTCTTTCTCTTCATGGGCCCAGCACTCCATTCATGCAGAGACAATTGTGAGCAACTAACACACCATGCCCACTCATTTCTCCATCTTTGCATAAGCTGTTTCCCAAGTCTTCTTGAATATCCTTCCTTCCAGGACTTTCCTACATGGCTAACTGCTACTAGCTCTTTAAGACCGGGCAAACTATCACCTCTTTCAGGAAGCCTTCCTTGATCTACCAAGATTGGGTTAGGTGCCCTTAGTCCCATAGTGCCCTGTGCAAAGTCCTCCGGAAGCACTTACCATTAGATGTTTAAATTGCATCTTCACACTGGCTTCTGTTTTCCTGGTTGATTACTAGCTATTAAAGAACAGAGATTTCTGTCTTATTCACATTTACTTATCAGCTATCCCAGGGGTGCCTGGCATAAGGTTGGCATTCAGTCACTGATGTTGGTTGCATAAGTGAATGAGTGATGAATAAAAGAATGGGGTGAACAAGCTCTATCTAGGAGATGATGTCTCGTGTTTCCTGGGGATTTTGCCTTCCCAGAGGATTGGGAGAAATAGAGGTGGGTAAAAGCAGGGAATCAAAAGTGCCAGGATGTTCTGAAATTAAAGAGGCTAAGGAAGGACCTTGCAGACAGAGAAGCACACATTGGGCCTGGAACATGCCAGAAAATTCCTCTTGACTCAGCCTCCAAGGCCGAGCTGAGTAAGTGGTGGCCCTGGATCCTTAACTTCAGCTTGGAGGTCTAGGGTGCACTGATGACGCCTGACCCAGAGGACACTGGAGGGGCTCATGCCTCACCTGGGGGGGTGACCTTCTTTTGACCCTACCCAGAGTCTTGGGTGGAGGGGTGAGGGCACCTGCAGAAAAGACACGAACATAATGTAGAGTGAAGAGAAATGATATACAGCATCACAAAGTCTGTCACGACCTCTGATGACCTGAGTGGACAATGGAATGACCTTAATCTGGGGTTGCAGCCACTTTTCTGTCAATGCCTGCCTGACCCCCATCTGCTCTTTGCACCACGTTGCCGTGACGACTGTGGAAGGAATAGGAAGCACCAAGTCGAGGCTGCATCCTGTGCAGGTAACCAGAGCAAAGAGAGCTCATGACAAGGCTGCAGACTTGCACTGGGTTGTTGGGCTGAATGTTACTGCCTGCGCAAGGAGACCTGTGGCCTGGCCACCTCCCATCTCCTCCAGGGTGAGGGGCTGTGAGGCAGAAAGAGGAGGCACCCAACTCTAAAGCTCCCTCTTGTGTCTAGGGTTGATGTAACCCCAAGGGAACCAAGAGGTCAGTTGGATCTGATGGCTGGACTGCCCAGCTGCACCAGAACTAGAGGGAGGGACGTGGGTGAATTTCCTCACCTTGCCCCCAAGTGTGCTTAGGAAGCCCAATGCCTCCCTAGATTCAAGATTCCAAATGCTCCTTGCCCCTTGATAAAAGCCCACCCATTCCCTGCTCCCTCAAATAGTAATTTTGTTGCACCTCTCACCTCCCACCTGCAGATAAACAAATGTGTGCTGCTAGGCCTCCATCCTCATTCCAGTGGAGGTTAGCAAGGGCTCAATAAGAGAACAGACACATGTGAGTGTCTGACCAAGGCTTTCTCCATGATGGTATCAGGCCACCTGGGAATGGATTGAAATTGGGATAGCTCTTGGGAAGAGTGGGGGGTAATCTGGGGAGTTTTGTGGAGAGAATCAGGATGCTCTGAGCAAAGTGGAATGGAGTATACATGGGAGCAGAGCATGGTGGGAAGGAAAGGCCATTGTTCCCCGCGCATTTTGTTTGGGGAAACAGGCATGGGGTGGGGGGCTTTGGGAGATTGCAACCCCAGAAGGTGCCAGAGCTGGGCCCAGGTCTTAATCCTCCCTTGAGCATTTGGAGAGACCTGCCATTCAGAGCACGCCTTGTAAGGTTCCGTGGGCACCTTACAGGGACGTGGGAGCCAGAGCCTCCAGTTGAGCAAGCTGATTACACTCCTTGAGAGGAGCATCTTGGAGCAGTTAAGCGAGGTGAGAGCAGGGTGGGTGGTATTGCTTCACCTCTATGGCTTTGTTTCTCAGGAAGGAAAAGTGAAAATTACTAAACTTGTCCAACCTGCAGGAGATGTGAGAAGGGTAATTAGGGTATTTCATTTTCCTTGAGAGCAGTAGATGAAAGTAAGAATGAACAGTTTATACATGGATCATAACCATATAATTAGTCTAAAACCCTCCCTTTCTAATGGTACAGATCCTTACTCCCTTTGGTCTTATTTTGGCTCCACATAAGCTGTAGAGCCAGATTCCACTTTTCCTTGTCCATTTAGATTTTTTATCTCTTGGCTTCTATGACACTACATTTCCCCCATTCCCCTCCTATCTCCATGTTTGCACCATGTGCTGGTCTCTCATCTGCTCAGTCCCGCGTGGCTGCAGTGCCCGAGGGCCCTGGGTGGGTCCCTTCAATTCTCCATCTTCACAGTCTCCGTAGGTGAGCTTAATACGATCTAGATGCGAATGGCATGCACATCTATACCTTCAGCTTTGACCGCTCCTCAGAGGGTCGATTCATATTTCCAACTGCCTGCTTGGCATCACTACATGAACATATAATCTTGAACTTAACAAAACCCTATTCTTTCTTGACTTCTTTCTTCCCCTGAGTCAATGGCAAAAGCATCCACTGGATTGCTCAAGGCAAATATCTGGGAGTCATTTTGAGTCTTTCTCTCATAACCACCCTCAATTCATCTGAAGTAGTGTCCACCCTACCCTCAAATCCTAGAATGAAACTTTTATTTTCTCTCAGTTTCCCTATTACTTTTTAGGCTGAGCCACAATCCCCTCTTGCCTGGGCCATGATGGTGTCCTGGTCCCCTGTTTCTACTCTTCCCCCTACAACCCAATCCCCACCCAAAAGCTAGAGTGATTCTTTAAAAACGTAAGCTAGGTCTTATCACATGCTGCTGAAAATTCCCTAACAATTTTCCATCACACCCAGAATAAAAATCCCGATCCCTACCATGGCTTATGAGGAGCTACATGACTGGCTGCTGCGTATTTCCCCAGAACTTTTCTCATCCAGTGTAGTTCAATCTGTACTGGCCTTTCAGTGATTCTAGCACAGCAGGCTGTGCACTTGCTGTGCTCAGAGGCTTTGCCCTTGCTGTTCCCTCCATCTGGAATACACTCTTTCCTGATCCAAATAGCATTATTAAATTCAACTTAACGGTCACCCTTTGAAAGCCACCATTTCTGACCATTTTGAGTAAAAATTAGTCTCTCTGGATCCTGTCATCCTGTACTAATTGTCTACCTAGCACTGCCCTCCACCTGCAATTTTCTTAATCTTTCATTTATATTTTTTGTCAGTATTTCCCCTACACGGACATGAGCTTCATGAGACCAGGGACCTGTCTCTTTTGTTCACTGCCCTGTCCCCAATGGTTTTATCATGCCTGGCACATAATAAGTTCTCATTAAATGTTTATAAAATGAATGAATATATATGCTAGGCACTGAGGATGCAATATTGTAACACTTTTACGTAATGTAAGTACCAAGAGAGATTTCCAAGAGATCAATCAGTCAATAAATAAATAAATAAATAAATACATTGGATGTGGAGAATCTCCTTGTAATAAAACTCTTGCAGGCTCAAATGAAAATTCTGTGACATTCAATGCATTTAGCAAATTGTAAATGACACATTTCCCAATTCTTCTGTCCCCACTGGACTTCAACAGTTTCCCTCTTTTAAGAAGACAGTGATATTCTAATTTGGAATAAGATGAATTCAGTTGGTTCTTAACAAATGCTGGTTGAATTGGATTGTGGGATAACATAGTTAAAAGAACACGACACAGCTCTTGCATTCACCATGTATGTCTTTGGATAAGCTCTTAACCCTCCAGACCTGCTTCCTCCTCTGTTCAATGAATGGAATGAAGGGTAAGAAGGCACTTCCAGCTCTAATAGTCGCTATTCTTTGAAGGGACTTTTCTACTATTAACTAACACTGGTTGACTGGCCACTATTTGCCAAGTATAATGTTAAGAGTTTTATGTGAATTATCTCATTGCTTCTTCACCATAGCTCTGGAGGTAAGTACTAGGACAGTCCACATCATACAGATGAAGGATTCATGGCTCTGAGAGGGTTGGTAACATGGCCAAGGTCATGGTTGGTAAGTGGTGGCACTAGGATTTGACTTTGTGCAAAGACTGCTGCTCCACGCTGCCTGTGGACATGGCCTAGCTCCAGCTGAGTCATGTAGGGAGTCTGAGAGGGGTTCTGCCAACACAGGTGTCCATGTCATCTGTCCCTTTTAGGAGAGAATTGCCAAAAGCCATGGTTCCCAGTGTGGATTCTGCACCCCTGGCATTGTCATGAGCATGTACACACTGCTTCGGAACCAGCCCGAGCCCACTATGGAGGAGATCGAGGATGCTTTCCAAGGTACAGGCCTCAAGGCCCAGCCCAGGAGGTGGGATGGAAGATGGGGCTCTGTGGGGATCAGGGCAGGGCCTGAGTGGAAGCCAGGAATGGGCTAGGAGTGTCAGGCACTGTCCTTTGGAGGAAAGGCTCCGGCCAAGCCACATGGTGGCTAAGATCTGCTGGAAGGTTGCCCATCTCTTAATTTGAAGAATACTTGGGTGGGTTGGAGACCTCCGTAGATTGCCTGCCTTAGTGTTTTTCTTCCTGAGGTGTCTGCTTGCCCTCCCTCTACACTGGGATGGGGTGGCAGTGGGTGGCTGGCACAGCAGGAGATTATATGGAAAACTCTACAAAGGCTTGCGATCTTGCTTCCTTCTGTCTCAGCTTTCATCAGAATAGGATTCTGAAGGCAAAGGCCACATATGAGGGAGGCGGCTATGATTCTGAGCCTTGGGCAGGCGTGGCGTCCCACTTTGCCTCTGTGAATGG